GCTATTTGTGCTAGAGGCAGGAAACCAATGCCTTTGCCAATGCCAGCCTGGCACTTTCACCTTGGCTTTGTGACTTTCCCTTACTAGCTATGTGACTTGTGGCCAATCACGTAACTTTGGGCCTTGGTTTCTCCATCCACCAAACAAAGATAACAATGCTTGGCTCACAGGGCTATTGTGAGAGCAAAATGAGATGACATTTATGAGATGACCATTTTGTGATCATAAAGTATGTAGGTAAAGCCAATGCATCACCAGCATTGTTACTTAAGTGCTTTGGAGCAGGAATTAAAGCAAAAAACAAACAAACCCCCCCACAAAACCCCACCTGTCACCTATATAAAAGCAAAAAATACTTAATTAACAAATTCGGTGTAGCTTTGTATTTCTCACATTGTTCATTACTTTAAGCAGAGAAATTTTCATGTGATGGATACTAACAAGAAGTACAAATATTAATTTCCAAGTTTTAAAATTTGGGGCAAGATTAAGAGAAAACTGCAAGTTAAATTATAGATACCGCCTGGTGTTCCCACTATGTTATTTAGGTCTCTTAGCCACATTTCCGTATTCTCGTAACAGAGTAGTGACAACTTATATCTAAGAGACGAATCAGCATATCCTCCTTTGGGGACAGACAGAGGATGGCTCTCGAGGCTGTTGTTCTGTGTGGGGTGAGGATAACACCTGCAATGAGGATTTGTTAGCCTGGGTGGCTGCATGGTGTCACTTCTGAGAGCCATGATAAAAGAATCCTCCCAACAGCCAGCCAACGGTGGTGAGTGGTGCTTGACAGACGAAAAGTGTGTGAAGGAACCCTGCCAGGGTAGGGCAGACCCCAGGCTGCTGCCGTCGTGAAGGGTGGCTGAGCTGAAGTAGGGAGAAGAGGAAGAAAGGCACCAAGAGCCTGGGTGAGTGCTTTTGACGTGTAGCAGACGGAAATGATTCGGAAGGTGCAGAGCCCTGGGTGGGCGCCACAAGGGGAAATATTGGGACTTCTGAGAACGTGTCTGTGTTTGAGTGGCACCGTGTGGCTGTGGAAGACCAGAGGTCATACAAGGAACCCTAAATCTCAGTTGCAGCCACAGCTTTAGTCTCTTTTCCTGTGTCATCTGGGAAGAGCCACTTAACCTTGGGTAGGTCAGCTTTGTTCTCTTGGTCCTTCCATGGTGGAGGTGCTGAGCGACAGTGGCAAGGCTGAAGGCTGACAGAAGGTGAGGGCAGCCCTGGGCAGTGCACAGCCTCATGTCCCTGGGGACGTGAGCTGCCTGGGGCCGGGGGAAGCAGGGTGGGTGTTGGAGTCTGTTGGGAGTGACTCAGGGGAGGGGAGGGCCAGACTGTCTCTGAGATCCTTTCCGATGCTAGATTTCTGCACAGAGGCTGCAGCGTACTGAATATGCACGAAAGTGCGCCCCGTCCCAAAAGCAGTGAGGCTGCTGAGGGGGCTGCCGAGGGTCCAACACTCACCATATAGCTTCTCTCTCATTTTTCCCTGGGAGGTCTGCAGCTTGATCTCCCCCCGGAAGTGGCCGGTCATCTCTCCGTGGTGGGTCAGCAGTGTGTAGATGGGCAGCGGGGTCTCTGTGGCCTCTAGCCGGAGGGCAATGCAGCCCTCACCTGGGGGAAGAAGGGGACAGTTGAGTGAAGACCCTGTCTTCTCACAGCAGACACCAAGCACTAGGCTGAGAGTCAGTCTACCACCTGGGGACAGTCTTTGGAAATGAAGACCAAGGTGAGGATTATTTCATAAACCCTCAAACCTAACAGCAAGATGAGCTCCACATGGATTAGTCAATGTAAAGATAAATCACAGTGTAGAAAAACAGAGTTAAACAATAATCTGATTTCTGTAGGGGACGATAACTTCCCAGGGTTTGAAGCAAGACAAGAAATGATAAAACAAGACCAGAAAACAGGATAAATAAGCTTAAAATGCCTGCACAAAGGAAAAAACTAAAATGAAAAAGGTACTGGGAAGAGCGCTGTGGCTGGCTTCACAGGCAGGGGGTGATCTGAACTCCACAGGAACTCCTCGAAATCAAGTCCCCCAGAGATAAATGGGCAGACCATACAAATGGATATCTCACGCAGAAAGAACTGTAGCTGGCTCATTTCAACAAATAGAAAATAGTTCAGCCTTCCTAGCCATCACAAATGCAAACTCAGGCCAGGTGAGGTGTCTCATGCCTGTAAACCTAGCACCCTGGGAGGCCGAGGCAGGAGGATCCCTTGAGCTCAGGAATTTGAGACCAGCTTGAACAGGAGTGAGACTCCATCTCTACTAAAAATAGAAAATTTGGCTGAGTGTTGTGGCAGGCGCCTGTAGTCCCTGAGGCAGGAGGATCGTTTGAGCCCGGGAGTTTGAGGTTGCTGTGAGCTATGATGACACCACAGCACTGGAGTCTGGGACAAGAGAGCAAGACCCCGTCTCAAAAACAAAACAAATAAAAGTTCCCACCAGCCATTCCAGAATAAAGAGACTTAAAGGGCGGGGCAGGGGACTAAGGAAACACTAAGGTGCTATTCCACAGACATGAAATTAGCACAAAGAGAAGACAAAGAAATAGCACCCCGTGTGTTGGGGAGTGGGGGCTGGGGAAACCTGCAAGGTCAACTCACACAGCCTCACACAGCTCACTCGGTTTGCTGTTAAATGCCAAGTTTCAGACATGCATAAACCCTCAGCAAACATGGGAACCTGTCCCAAAGAGATGGTCCAAAAGAATAAAAATTATAGCTGAAGAATGTAAAATGTCCACAGAGAGACAAAAGTAACTAGCAGGGCCTCAATAATAGCAAGAAGGAACATTTCTAAAAATGAGGATACAGTAAATCCACGGAATATTACCCAGCCATTAAAAGGAACAATTGTGAAGACTGTGGGAGGGACATGGAAAATGTGTGTCATCTAAACCAGGTGAGGAAGGCAGAATGTTAAATGGTATTTCTGTGATGACAAGTGCAAAAATCCTCACATGCCTACCTGTGAAGATGGAGATGGACAAAAGCAAATAAAAGGATCGCTGTAACAGATCAGGAGACTGCCTATTGACTCTTTTTCTTTTTGTCACTGTCATGCTGTGTGTGAGTGTAAAGAGCAAGACGGAGAAACAAAGGGGGAATGTGGCATCTGAATGAGAAAACGCAGCTCGCTCAGCTTCCTGCCACGGAGCTTCAAACATTCCAGGATCCACGGGTCCTCACCCCGTCACCCTCTGCAGGCTCTGCCGCCTCTGTCCTGGCTCAGTGCTGGGAGGCAGTGAAGGGTGCAGCAGATTCTGCAGCCAGGCTGCCTGGGCTCTAGTCCAGGGTAATATAGTTACCATCGCCAAGCCACTCAGCTCTCTGGCCTCGAACAAGTCTCTTCAGGTTCCCCAGCCTCCTTCCCTCACTCTCCAATGAGGGGAGTGATGGCACCTGACCCAGGTGTCGGCAGAGCCTGCCAGTTGGTGCCTCACACAGGTCACCCTGTGTGTCCACAGCCTCTCTCTCTTTACTGGCTTCCACCAAGTGGGGCTTGGACAATGCAAAGCTCTTCCATTTAAAACAAATAAGCAGACCCAGTGCAGTGGCTCGCACCTGTAATCCCAGCACTCTGGGAGGCCGGGGCAGGTGGATCGCCTGAGCTCAGGAGTTTGAGACCAGCCTGAGCAAAAGGGAGATCCTGTTTCTACCAAAAACAAAAACTACTGAGTGTTGTTAAAGTGTCTATAGTCCTAGCTACCCGGGAGGGTGAGATAAGAGGATCATTTGAGCCAAGAATTTGATGTTTCCCCAAAGGAGCTGCCACCTCTGTGTTCCCAGCAGAGGCTATTGGCTCCCAGGCAGGTGTGGTGCCAATCCTGGGACCCCTACCGTAGGATTCGTCGCTGTCAGAGGATTTAATGCTAATTAGGATGTGCTGGTCCAGCAGGTACTCAGGGTCAGAGATAATGGGCTTCAGCTGCAGAGAGAATGGCACAGGATTAGAGGTGACAGGTGGGGGACAGGTGCATGAGGGTCACCAGCCGAATGTGAGGAATGGGTGAGAAAACAGGACGGAAGCTGTTCTTATTAATGACGTCCACATCTGCGCTCTGTGCGAGAGAACAGGAAGGAACCCAGCTGTACCTCCAGCCCGCATGCGAGAGCTAGCTTTCTTCCCTGTCCCCACACAGTACTCTAGAAAGTTGGGCTGCACTCCCAGGTCCTAGGGAGACAGCCTGACTGCAGATGGACCCCAGCCCATTGCCTCCGTGCCCTGCCTTTGCAGATGCGAGATCCCGGGGAGGAGGCAGGCTGGAGTGCCCCCACACCCCACCTGGGGAGGATATGGCCTCTGTGTCCCATTAGAGGTGTGGCTCAGTGAATGGCAGACACAGACTCCCACATTCGGGTTCTGTTCCTGACTTCCTGCTGCCAGCAATGTTCAGAGCCAGGGACTGCTGGGCTGGCTCCTGCTGTGCTGATGACAGGCTTTGCACGAGCTGGGTGACCTCAGACCACACCAACACAGGGCTGGGTCCATACACGCACAGGGAGGAACGTTACAGGCGCACTAGCTCCTCATGTGCAAGTAGGCGGCTCCTCAGGACGACTGCGACACAGCAGGGCCACAAAGAAAGGTCACGCGCTGCTCTAGGCTGCCCCAGGCTGCCCCTTCCTTTCCCTCCACAGACACCTGAAGGCCCATAAGGGGCAGGACTCAAATACCACACTGACCAACATGATGGATGCACTAGATCCCATGCAGAAAGTTCCAGAACTAATGACGGGAAACTATGGTGGGACTCTGGGCTGCCTGGTGCAGGTTCTGAGGTTCTGAGGTTGCACAGCCCCAAGGACCACTAGGCTCACTGACATGTGGTGACATCTGGCCACTGGGTTTGCTGACATGTGGTGACATCTGGCTATAAGTTAGATGCAGGGCAGGAGCTGCGGATGCAGTGGGGAGTGGGGCGTCAGACACCTGAGCAAGGACTGTCTCTGGGGGACGTATGGCCATGATGGAGGGGGGTGGGGCGACTATCTGGGTGCCACAGCGGGAATTTAGGAGTGAAGAAAGGAGGCTGTCGGGTACAGGCGGGTAACAGGGAGCAGAAGGTGCTGTGAGAATACCTGAGGCTGGAGTGGGAGAGGCTTGCCTCAGTGGCGCCAGGGAGTTGACTGAACAGAGGGGACACCACCCTCAGATAGGCATTCCAGAAAGACCGTCAGACTTCAGGATACCTCAGCAGGAGGATAGGAGCAGAGCCCCTGAGAGGGGGCCGTGGGACAGGAGAGGGGACAGAGGCAGGAGGAATGGCAGGGGGTGGTGACAGGACCTGGGAGTGGAGGAAGACGGTGTCCAGGGGGTCCCTGAGGGGGACCAGAATGCTGGCATGTTTTCAGCTTCACCAAAAGAGGAAACAATTGCTCAATTCTGTGTGGAAGCAGCCAGAAGAGGAGGAGCAGCAGGTGGGTGTGGGCTGGGTGAGGCAGAAATGTCTCTTTGGAGCCTGGAGCCCACAGGATGCAGGGGCCTACAGACAGCCCCAGGACAGGAAGTCTGGACAGCTGTTGGGGCCTCAGCAGAAGGCCCTAGTCAGAGCCATCTGTGCAGGCTTGGACCTCTCGGTATTTAGGATTACACCCGTATCAGGATAATCAGTCTCTGTTCCTGAGATCATACGGCCTTTTTTTGTTTTTGCAGTTTTTGGCCAGGGCTGGGTTTGAACCCGCCACCTCTGGCATATGGGGCTGGCGCCTTACTCCTTTGAACCACAGGTGCCCCCCTCACATGGCCTTTTTATGTGACTCAACAGTTGGTTCCAATCAGTGGTTAAGGCCAGTGTGGGTAGCCTGGCCCCTTAAACCTGCCTGCACCCACCCCAGCCTGGAAGAAGATGGGCCCCCACCCATTTCAGGCTGTCCTTTGAAACCTCCCAGGGAACCTTCCAGGGGGGGCCCTGAGACCCCTGTCTTCTGTGTCCCAGCTCTGGACTGCCCTTGTCACACCCCTCCCTCTCGGTGTGCGAAAGGAAGCGTCCCCCTCTGCTCTGAACCAGCAGGAGCATCTGATCAGCAGGTATCCATTGACAGCCGGCATCACCACCGTCAGCTCAGCATCACAAAGGCAGTATTGGTAGAAAGCTATTTTTCTGCAATCAAGATGCTTGCGTTGCCCTAAAGTTTGCCGGTGTGTTTTCAGTTCCCCCCCTCAGCTCATTCAGGACCATGGATGGTTAAGTACTTCCTGTGTTCACAGTGTGTGGTTAGAGCCAACAGATTCCCATTTATGTTGACCATGGCCCTATGGGCCAGTAAGCAGGTGATCAGCACCTTTCAAAGGAACGGGGAGTCTTGGGGGTTGGGTCCTAGTCTGTCACTGCAGCTGTGTGACTGTGACCTGCAAAATCACATGGTTAAACACGTTGACCTCCAGATGCCTTGCATGGTCCATTAGGGTCTGAAAAGCGTATGGTGGACCACCTTAAATGAGAGCTGCTCCCTGTCTGGAAGTGGGATTCCTGCTCCCTCTGGTCAGGCCCAGCTGTCACTCTGCCGTTGGCCAGCACTGCTGGCCTGGTAAGTGCAAAACCCTGCCTGGGGAACGTCTTGCTCCAGAATTACCTTTGGAAGGGTCTCCTCAAACTTAACCACCAGCTCCCCCTCGCTTCCTTCTTCATTTTCTCCTTCCTGACTCTTGACAAAACCTGTCAGAAGACAAGAAGTTTGGTTTTTAGAAAACAGGGCAAGAACCAAACTGAAAAGACCCTGGGGTCGTCCCACCTGGCCTGAGGAAGCTGCTCTTTTTCTCTGTAGGGGCCTCAGCACCCTTTAGGAGTCAGACGTGCTGGGAATTTCTATTTTTGTGCAAGGGATGGTCATTTGCCAACACGGTCTAATTATTTTTAGGAAAATCAAAGAGATTCTTCCTCCTTTTCAGCTCCCTTTGCAACAAACCAGGCAACGAAAAAATCATCACATCACAGGCAAGAAGATTAGGAAACATGACAGCTCGTCCCACACCACTCAAGATAGCAGCCTTTTGAAATTCTAATTTAAGCTCCCTAATATGCTGTTTCCATAGAAATGTGTGCAAGTGTCTCGATAGTTTATTAAAAACACCCGCACAAAATTTCCTTATCCTTTTTGGAACCGCTTTGACCCTGCCTGGTGAACTGGGGCTTGGGGCCTCAGTGGCAAAGGCTGTGCTATCCCCAGGCCTGGGCCAGGCTGAGTCAGAGAAGTAAGGGGCGCGGAGGGCACAGTGGTGGCTGGTGGCATAAGCCTTCTTCTTGAATTCTAGAAGCATCCCAGCCATGCACTCACAAAATGCCCCCTCAGTGAGGAGGGGTAGAAGCCACATCGATCTTCGCTTGCCATGGAACAGCCATGGGCAAAATGCCTAGAAATGGGCCCCAGAAAGGGCATTTCCTAAACACAGATTATGCCATGCGCTGCCGGCTTGGAGGGGGCTGTCCATCTCCAACTTGATTTTTGCTGTGGTGGTTGTCCTGAGAAAGATTCTGTGACATTGAAAAAGCAGGAGGCAGGAGCTAGGGCAGTCAGGAAGAGGGCAGCTGGAACTTGGCCCATCACTCTCTGGTTGGGTCAGACCCCTGGTGTGGGGGAAACCAAGAGGGTTGCAGTCTGCCCCGAGCAGGCAGGGAGGAGAGCCCACTGCGTGAAAGGGACTGATGGGTCTGTATGTCCCCGTGGCTGCCCCTCTCCCAGGGCTACAGCAGCAGCACCGTAAGCTACAAGGAGGCCCCCCTCACACTACCTGGGAGTCCCCTTAGACTCTCTAACTGAAGCCCTATTTGTCTAATCTCTTGGAGGCCCACGTAAGAGTCTTTCCCAGGGAGAAGAGAAAGGGGGCAAAATACCATTCACAAATAGGCATTTATGAGAATGAGCAGGGGGGCCCACCCACCACAGGGGCAGCTCAGAGCAACTTACTCTCCAGGCAGCTTGAGTGGAACTCCAGGTAGAACTTGGTCTGGGACTTGGTCTTCAGTGTGGCGTTGCACCTGAGGAACTCGATCTGCCCTTGGCTGTCAGTGGTCCCAGGGCCTGTATCAGAGAGAATAGGGACTCAGCTCTCTCCAAACTCTCTCCAGGGATTCGGCCTCTATCCATATGCCCTTTCCTCTGGCTTCTCACTCTGTATACTGAGCTCCTCATTAGGGCCCGAGGAAAGTTGGGAGTCCAGTGGAAAGAAAGGTTTCCCTTGAAATAAAGCTAGCTAGAAAGCCACCACCCATGCTGAGCAGCCCTGATCACAGTGACAGCCCCCCCCGAAGCACCCTGTGGCAGAAGGCAGAGGTGAAGAGCGAGGGGTATGTGGAGTGAAGACCTGGTCTCTGCTTTGTCTCTAAACCCGAGTGTCAGGTAACATCCTCACCTTGCTACCTCAGTCTCCCTACTAGTTCCAGCAAAGAGCTTGTAGGCTGACTCAGTTGCTCAATATCCACATCTATTCAGTTTCAGCTAGAGAGGGATGCCTGCTCTTTCTTCCTTAGGCACAGTTATCCCTCTCCTTACTCCAGGCTCTGTAAACTCATTTGGACTCGGTTAACTTGCCTGTAACTGTATTAATGCAAATGATGCGTCTGTGAGCATCTTTGGTTTTAAACAAATGTTCTTTCCTTCTGTATAAATTCTGAGCCACCTGAGAGGGAGAACAAATATTCCCTTCTTTCATTACCCCCTTCTCATCTTCTTCCCTGTCTCTTTCTAAATCCCATTGCACGTGGGCCAGGCTCTGCTTAGCTAGATGGTCAATCATTGTTCAATCCTGGGGATCAGTATGCTTGAGCATCTACTGAGTGCCCGGGAGGGAAGCCTGTTACCTGGGGTGCTCTACCCAGTAACAGAGGAGGAGATGGCAGCAGCAACCCCATCGATGCTGCAGCAACTCAGGGAAAGGGGAGGTGAGTGGAAGCCGTGAAATCCTAAGGCCAGGAAGGTTCTGGAAAGGCACAGAGGCCAGAGCTAGGGAGCAGACAGGGTGGTGGCGCGAGACCTGGGTGGGGAGCAGTCACAGTGCTGGGTCCGTGGACCTGGGTGGGGAGCAGTCACAGTGCTGGGTCCGTGGACCTGGGTGGGGAGCAGTCACAGAGCTGGGTCCGTGGATGTTTGACCCAGCAGCATGAAGAGGAGCCTCAGCAGGTCGATAGCATACAACCTCACTGACATCCCTCCCAGCATGAAGGACGCAGAGCAAGATGGTCTTTCTCAACTTATACCTGCGTCCCCCACACTCAGCCTTCCTAAATGAGCCTGGGTTGTCTGCTGACCACGGAAGTAGGGACTGGGCAGAGCAGATGACAACATGGCCCCCTAGTCACCCAGGCCGAGGGCTGAATGGGCAGACTACTGAGAATGCCTGGCCTCTGCCGGGATGAGGGCAGCCTGGCATCCAGGGCTCAGCTGGATTATTTGAAAAATTACCTGCAAATCTAAACATTGTTTACTCGAATGTTTCCCCAACTCCGTCATCGGCATCCCACCTTCACGATTTTTACCATCTCCGCCTACCGCGCACCTGCACTACTATTTACTTAATATTGTCTCTAAATAGACTCACTTCTTAAATTTAAATGTGATTAAATAAAGTATATCACAATACTAAATGGAAAATTAATGTTGCTTGCCTTACACAGAAGAGACACATTTAAAACATGAAATGCATTACTCGCAGATGTTCTTTTTTTGCAGTTTTTTTTTTTTTGGCCGGGGCCAGGTTTGAACCTGCCACCTCAGGTATATGGGGCAGGCACCCTAGTCCTTGAGCCACAGGTACAGCCCATGCTCGGAGATGTTCATCGGTGGCTCTGCAGTTGTCTTTGATGGTAGATACACCACACTTGGGTAAATCCAAATTTTTCACACTACACTAAAACCAAGGCACAGAAGGCTGACACATTGGCCAAACAGAGCAGGTGCATCCTGTGGACGGCAATTGTGATATGGCTTGGACACGAAAGCCTTGAACTATGGGCTGTGGACTCACCTGGAAGGATAAGCCTTCATCTAACACAGACAACTGACTGTCACGACCAGAAGACGAATGCCCAGTGCCCATTGTCTTTGAGGAACATAGAGAAAAGGACGCTGATCACTGCTTACCATTCTTTGAGACAAACTGGGAAGTCACCCCGGCCTCAAATGTGGCAAAGACAGGGCTGTGGTCACTTGTCATGATGTCAGTAGTGCTTCCTGGAGGGAAGAGAAGAAATTTCTGAGCAAGGCAAAAGAAACCCTTCAGGTCAAGCCAAGAATGGCAAGGCAGAAATAAACTATCTTCATGAAGCCTCCAGGGAGTCTCGCGCTTTTGCACCTGTTGTCCTGCTGACCCTGAAGTGACAGATAATGTGTACACTGCCTTCTCCATAGATAAAAAATGCTTAGTTTTTCCTAATAAGTCATAAATTTTTGTTTGTTTATTTTGAGTCAAAGTTGCACTCTTTCAGCCCAGCCGGAGTGCAGGGGCGTCATCCTAGTTTACCGCAATCTCCAACTTCTGGGCCCAAGCAATCCTCCTTCCTCAGCTTTCTGAGTAGCTGGGCCTGCAGGCACACATCATTATACCCAACTAAGTTTTCTTTGTTTTATAGAAATAGGGTCTCACTACGTTCTTCAGACTGGTTCTGAACTCCTAATCCCAGCTATCCTCCCGTCTCAGCCTCCCAAAGCACTGAGAATAGAGGCATGAACCACTGCACCTGACTGACTCGTGAATTTTGAAATAGATTATGGAGTGTGAACCATGGGGATTTTTCTCCTCTAGTCATTGTATTTTACTGATGAAGAGCCCAAGCTGCAGAATGGGTGAGGACTTAAGGTCACTCAGCTCATGAGTAAGAGAAACAGGATGCCTTCCCATCCCATAGTACCGTGTGGGATCAGGAGACAGTGGAAGGTGACAGAGTGTAGACAAAGCTGTTAAAGAGCTTGGAGGTCAGATAAGAAGGGAAGGCACCACAGCACATTTAGAGCGGGTAGAGAAAGAGGATAGTTCTAGAAGATAGTTCTTTTGAGATAGCCAGTTGGAGGTGTCTGGCAGATTACTGGGTACTCAAAGCCGGACATTTATCTTTAGATTTGAAGTCCGTGAGGTTAGGTGGAAACAGAAGCCATGAGGATATCTGAGCTTTCACAAGGAAGACATGAAGGAGGAGAGGAGATGAGGATGGAATTCCAGGACACACCAACTATAATTGGGCAGGCAGAAAAACAGTCTTCACAGGAGACCAACAAGGTGATAAAGCACATTTGATCTTCTTTTTTTTTTTTGAGACAGAGCCTCAAGCTGTCCCCCTGGGTAGAGTGCCATGGCATCACAGCTCACAACAACCTCCAACTCCTGGGCTCAAGTGAGTCTCCTGCCTCCGCCTCCCAAGTACCTGGGACCACAGGCACCCGCCACAATGCCTGGCTATTTTTTTTTGTTGTTGTTGTTGCAGCTGTCATTGTCGTTTGGCGGGCCTGGGCTGGATTCGAACCCGCCACCTTAGGTGTATGTGGCTGGCGCCTTAGCCACTTGAGCCACAGGCGCCAAGCCTGATCTTCTTTTCTATAAAGCTTTTATAAATCAGAAAGAGAAACAGAAAGAAAAGAGAAACAGAAGAAAAGAGAAACATGCCACTACTCGACCAATCAAAGGATATGAACAGAAAATTGGCCAAAGAAATAGAGATGTACAATAAACATAAGAACTCCCCTTGCTAAAGATCACCAGAAAGCCAAAATGAAACAATGAGATAGAATGGAGAAAGATGAGAGTGGGGACCCTGGCTGTGGAGGAGGAGAGGAGTCAAGGGTCCAGGTGAAAAGGTTGTCCAGGAAAGAAAGAGGATAAGCTTTCCTGAGAAAAAAATCAGCCTAAAAACTGTTTGGACACGAACAGGAAGATGTCAGTGAGACCTACTGCTGTGGGAAGCGGGAGAGGATAGCATTCAGGAGTGGGGCTGAGTGAAAGGCCACAAGTTTGGGGTGACAATGGAGAACAGGGGGTGCTAGGGAGCAGTTAAAAGACAAGTAGGTTTTTTTTTTTTTTTATGTTCTCAAAATATGAAGGGTGCCAAAAAATGTATACACATTTTAAGAAAGGAAAAAACTGTATTGAAATTGTAATACTCAAATCACAGTCGACTTTTGCAACTGAGGTGCTCAACATAACTTGTATTCATCTTTTGTTATTGGTATATATTGAGTATTACAATTTTTTTTTTTCTGAGATAGTCTCACTGTCTTGCCCCTGGTAGAGTGCTGTGGCATCATAGTTCACAGCAACCTCAAACTCTTGGGCTTAAGTGATCCTCTTGCTTTAGCCTCCCAAGTAGCTGGGACTACAAGTGCCCACCACAACACCCAGCTATTTTTTTTTAAGAGATTGGGTCTCGTTCTTGCTCAGGCTGGTGTTGAACTCATGAGCTCAAACAATCGACCCACCTTAGCCTCCCAGAGTGCTGAGATGAATATTACAATTTTAATATAGTTCTTTTCTTTCTTAAAATGTATATATATTTTGGGGGCATCCTCTCTATTTTAGATTGCACTGAACATATTAGTAATGGCACTACAATGTACCCTTAAACCTGGGAGGTAGACCGTCAGATGAGTGGCCCCCAGTGAACCATACTTTCTAGTAATTATACCCTCTGTAGCCTCCTACCACAGTGACTTTGGGCTTGGCCTATGGGACTTCCTTTAGCTAATGAGATCTTAGTAAATCTGAGGCAAATAGTCTTAAAATGAATTTCCATAGGCAAGACTAGCAGACTAAAACCTTGAGACCAGGAAGTGAAGAAGCCTGCACTAGCCTTCTGGATCATGAGTTACCACCCTTGCCCCTGCCTATAGCCAGCCAACTCCAGACTGGAATGGGCTCCCACTTGACTGTGTCAACACCAAATAGAGCCGAGATGAACAGTCCAAATTCACCTGAGCCCAGAGAATTGTGAACAAATTAATGTTGTTTTGAGCCACTGAGCTTTAGAGTAAGTTGTTATACACCAATAGACAGCTGGTATACCTGGTTATGCAATTGCCATAAGAAGACCCAGGTTCCCTGGTCAACTGCATCTCCTAAGCTCTGCGTATCTGTTCCCTTTTCTTTCCCAACTTTGTGCTCATCCCAGACCTCAACTCACTAAACCCTACTACTATGCTTTCTGGCATTTCATGATGTGATCATTAGTAAAATTCCCTATATCTTCTTCCGTCTTCACATTTCAAACCTGGCCCTCCCCAGACAATACTGATGACTCCCAGGTGAAAGCTCATTTTCTCCCCCATTCCTCATACCCTGGGCCCAGAAGTGGAGAATGTGTATTCTACTTGCTCCTCATTACCACTTCCTGATTAACCTTCCTTTTTTCCTAAAACCTCCACTGTTGAACAATTTTGAATGCCAAGTTTAGGTTCAAAATAGTAAGTGGCGGCAGTGCCTGTGGCTCAAGGAGTAGGGCACCGGCCCCATATGCCAGAGGTGGCAGGTCCAAACCCAGCCCTGGCCAAAAATTGCAAAAAACCAACCAAACAAAAACAGTAAGTGGCAATTCTGTAAGCATCAACTGTCTCTTGACTCTCTGCAGAGGCTGGCTGAAGGCAAACAGTTGAGTCTTCCTAGAGGCAAGAATTGGCAGGACTCAAGGAGTCAGAGGGTGTGGGAAGGGGAGTGCTGACATGAATGACCCGTGTACTGCTGGGAAGGACTGACAGGCCTGGAGGCTCAGCGGGGTGGAAGGGGATGAGGAAGGAATACACGGTGAGGAAGCTGGGGGTAGAGGGTGGAATATGGGCACTTGTAGGTTTTCAAGGTGGAGTAATTCCTTGCCTGTATGAGTATGGGTTGCCTTTTTGAACATCCAGAGGTGTTCTGTGAAGTTTGCCTAGTGAAGTTCTGGAGAAGCAGGGGGAGGGGAAAGAGAGGGAAAGGGAGGTGGGAAGAGAGAGACACTCTAGGAACTAGGGAGAGGGAGCCTGGGAACTTAAGAAATGCAGGGTGCATGTGTTGAACTATTCAAGGGCAGCTACTCTGGACTCTTCCACACAGCAGAAGGCATGTGCAGAAGAAAGGAATAAAAATCTGTTCAACTTGTGGAACTAGAGTTAAATGTATGGGAATGATTTGCTGGTCCCCACCCAGAAAGAGGGGAGCCAGGAAGGTGGCCACTAGGCAGCTTCAAGGTTCCCCCATCCCTTACTCTGAGAGGGAGGTTGGGGTTGGGGCACCCAGCTGGACAGGCCTGGAGTTGTGAACTGCCCATCTGGGGCTCCTGGCCTATATGCTTAATCATGTGAGGTGCACCTTGGGAACCAGGATGACCCTCCTTTGGACACCATTGCCTGGGAATTTGAAATGTTTTAAAAATAATATCATGACTGTGAGTCAGTAAAGTGTTCCAAGTAATTCCGCACTGTGAATTTTTGAGATTTGACTTTTTAACTAATAGGAACTTTTGAGGATATGCACTGAAGCAATTCAGAACTCCTTCAGCTGACCTGCAACTTTGAAGGTCAATAATTACTTCTTAATTATTTACATAACATATTCCATAATTATTGATGCTAATACTGTATATTATGCCTTTTTTTTTTGTAGAGACAGAGTCTCACTTTATTGCCCTGGGTAGAGTGCCATGGCATCACACAGCTCACAGCAACCTCCAACTCCTGGGCTTAAGCAATTCTCACGCCTCAGCCTCCCAAGTAGCTGGGACTACAGGCGCCCACCACAACGCCTGACTATTTTTTGGTTGCAGTTCGGCTGGGGTTGGGTTTGAACCCACCTACCTCGGTATATCGGGCTGGTGCCCTACTCACTGAGCTGCAGGCGCTGCCCTATTATTCTTTTTTCATCAATTTGACTCAATTTATCTTTAAGCCTCCCCAAACACTTGTATATACACTTACAATATATATTAGGTTGAACCATACCTAATTTCCAATAGTTGGCCATTTTTGACCTATTAAATCACTACTTTCATATGGTTCCAATCTAATATGTTCTCTTTAAGAGAAATAAAACCAAATTTATTTTAAAAAATTCTCTGTAATTCAAATGTCTCCCAAAGCAGAGAGTATTTATTGTCACAGCTGCAGGTAGGTGGGGATATACCAGCTCTTCCAGGTCTCCCGGTTGGGGTGCAGGGGGTGCTCCCATTTTACAGAAGAACAGACTGAAGCCCTTCATTTTAGGGCAGTCACACCTCCCAACTTGATGCTGGTCTCTGAACCTGGTCTGCCTTCACCCAGGGTTTCAACTCACCGTAGGACTGACACACCACGTGCACCAGGGGGTAAGACTTCCAGAGGACTCGGTCACACCAGGACGGCAAGTTGTACTTCATCTGCAAATGGAAGGCACAGGTTTATAAAATGCCTGCTACTTATTTTTTAATCAGTAACAGAAAAGATTCACTGGTGACCTCTGCAATCCTCAAATCCATCTACTATTGGCTTTTTGTAGAATTTCTCCCCCTCCCCCCCCCGTGACTTAAAACTCTTTCCATTTGCTTCAAGTCCTGACTCCACTGTGGTGCCCCACATTTGCAGACATCCTGGACTTCTGCTTTAGACTAAGATCAATTCACCTGGGCGTATTCCCTCACCGGTCCCCCTACCTCCTTCAGTAGCTCTTATATCTTCACCTTCAATTTCTTTCTGACTCAGATGAACCCCTCTACTTATATTTTCAACTCAGACTCTACTCACCTTCTCCAGCTACTTAAATAACATGCTCTAGCCAGTACCCCCACTCCCCTGTTCATCTCCCATTCATTTATCTACTCATTCACCACCTGGCCACTCACCCATCCACCTATTCACACACTCATCCCTCTATCCATCAATCATTCAGACATTATCTATCATACTATATGACAAGCTCCATTCAGGGTCTCAGGCTGCTATGGTGAACAGGACATCCATTGGGTGTGACAGATAAAAGGTAAATCAGTAATGGTAACAAGCATCTTTAATTAATGCTCTAGCTCTTTCTCCTCGTCTACAAACATAAAGATACCCATCCTAAAAGAGCTTATCTCTGCCATATGCTTCAATTACCTTCTTTTTTCTTCCCTTTACCAATTTTCTTCCAAAAATGTTCTATTTTCACTCACTTACTCTTTGTTCTTTAACTTGAGGTACAACTTATGCGCAGTAAAGTCTGTTAACCTTAAGTGTACAGATGGAGGTACTTTTACATTTGAATATACCCATTTAACCACTACCCAGAGCAAGATCAGAAAACTGCCATCACCCCAAAGGATTTCCTCCTGCCCCTTCCTTGTCAATACTGCTACTTGCTAGAGGTTAATAGTATTGAAACTTACATCTCCATTGATTAATTTTGCCTATTTTGAAACTTATATGAATTGACTTGTTCAGTATGTATTTTTTTGTGTCTGGACTCATTCGATATGTATTTTCTCTCTCTCTCTCTCTCT